CAAAAAAGTGTAGATCGATAGATCTATAAGAACTTGGAAATCTTGAAAATTGACAGTTCAAAAATGCATTACAAAATACACTATTTCCAAAACTTGAAATCCCTTCTTTTCTCATGTCCATGCATCGTAATGTCAATATGATCAACTTGAGGATATTTGGACATCAAAACAACCTCTTCTAGTTAAATTTTTTAGGTAGGCTCAAATTTGATTGTTTAGAGCCTCGGCTCTATATAAACTTTTCCCAATATTAAATTCACAGAAAATTTCTTTCTTATCCACTAACTAAATGAGATTGTGTATGGACACCAAATGAGATTGTGTATGGGAGATGAAAAGTATATTATGTATGGCCCTTATTTTGCTCCCAAGGAGTACACTATAGGTATACATCAAGGAACATTTTATTTTAGAGAAAATTATAGATGAGTTCCTATTCAAACGGGTCATCTTCCAAATATCCATCTTATACATGGATTTAGGATATGAAATGCATATTTATTTAGGGTGTGGTTTTTATAAAGCTGAGGCCCCGAACGAATTAAAGTAAGATACATCTTATAGTACCGAAATATGTTGTTTGAGTATCAAAAAATTTATGATGGTTTGAAATTTTACTTTCATCTCTAATTATAAAAATTTAACTATTCAAAAATAGTGTAGATCAGGCAGATCTATGCACACTTGAAAATCTTGAACATTAATGCCTAGATAATACATTACACTATGCATTATTTCCAAGACTTGAAACTTAAATTTTTCTCATGTCCATGCATCTTGAGGTCAAGATAATCAAATTGAGGTTTTTTCAGCATCGAAACAAACCTCGCCCTAATATAGTCAAATTTTTTGAGTGCTTCTTAATTTGATTGTCTAGGGCCTCGCCCTTATATAGGGTTGTGTGTTTTGTAAAAAATTAAGGCCCTAAAAAATCAAAGTAGCGAAAACACACCTCTAAATAGTGTTGGGGAGACGTCATTTTAATAGATGCATCGGCTCATGCACCAAACCTCATCCGTAAGATGCAAATGAACCTGTCAAATCTCCACCATTGATTGAGAATGTCATCCTACCTCTAACATTGAGAAAATTATTTATATAGTGTGGCGATCATCAACATCCAAGCTAATTAAGCCCAAGCGAGGATCCTACCTGTTACGACATCTGTAAACTTAAGGAATTAAGCGCAATTAATTATGGTTGTGGTTTGTATAAGGTTGAGGACCTAAACGAACAAAATAAGGCGCACCTTCGAATTGCAGCAAAAGATATTGTTTTAATACTGAAAATATTTATGATGGCCTGAAAATTTATTTTTATCCGTAAATATAAAATTTAACGCTTCAAAACAAGTATAAATTAAACAGATATATAAACACTAGAAAATCTTGAAAATTGACGGTCTAAACAATGAATTACAAGATGTACTATTTTCAAGACTTGAAATCCATTTTTTTTTATATCAGTGTATCTCAAGGTTGAGATGATTGGATTTGAAGGTTTTTCAACGTTGAAACAACTCCTTCTAGTGAGTTTTTAAGGGGCGCCTTAGTTTGATTGTTTAGGCCACCAAACTTATATAAACATTGTCCTCCCCACATTTTTAACACGGCCATTATGAGTATTTCTTAATGTTATTTTTTATAACATTTATAATATATATTTTTTAACATTGATTTTGCATAATATTATTTTTTGTACATTTATTATCTATCTTGTTTTATTAATTATTTACTATATATAATGTTTATAAATATTTAATACTTTTAAGGGATTTTAATTTATTGTTAGTCATTTCTTACTAAAAACATGCTATTTTTAGTAAATTATTTTAAAAAATAAAAATCAGTTTTTCAAAAATATAAATTTATATGTAAAAAATGTATGAGAATCTATGTCCGATGGTTTTGTGAAGAACGCTGCCAAATTATAAATAATTCGCAATTAAGATATTTAATCTTATTAAAAAATAAATTACTATTGATAATGAACGCATCCAAACCAGCGTTTTAAAAAACGCCGAGTCGAACCGGACTCGACTCGGAATTCGCAAAAAGGGACCGGATCGGTTGAAAAATCGGAAATCGTCCGGTTCTAGAGAGAACCGGACGATTCCGCACAGTGACTCGCCGATTCACTGTACGGAATCGGCGAGTCCGAACAGTGAATCGGCGAGTCCGTACGGTTTTTTTTTTTTGTTTTTGTTTTGTTTTGTAATCCATGATAGATTTTTTTGTAATATTGTAATACTTGATCGA